ATCACCATGAACAGCAGGATGATGAATAGGAAAGAAGGTCTCCCCTAAAGCCCTCACCCAAGGAATTGGCAATCTCCCCATGGCTTTTCTCCTTCCATACATTCCACTCTTCCTGTAGTGCAGTACGGAGTTATGAGCCAGGCTTTTTAACTTCAGTCACATTCATTAAATGTCTGAACTATGTCTGGATCTGTGATACTGACCTTGAAACTCTTTTATTTAATTAACAGACCTTTTCTGGTAAAGTTTAACATTTACAGAAGAATTAAGGTAGTACTGAGTTCCTATATACACCACCCCTAAGCCCCCACTGCACACTTAGTTTCCCTTATTATCATATATTAGTACAGTACATTTGTTATAATCAACTAATAATAATGTATCAATATTGATTCATTAAAATCCATACTTTACTCAGATTAGTTTTTATCTAATGTCCTTTTTCTGTTCCAGAATCTCATCCAGAAAACCACAATAACATTATTTAGCTGTCAGGTCTTCTTGGGCTCCTCTTTGCTGTGAGTTTCTCAGACTTCCCCTGTTTTTGATGGCCTTGACAGGTTCAGGAGTACTGGTCAGATATTTTATAGAATGCCTTTCAATTTGTTTTTGCCTGATGTTTTTCTCATGGTCAGACACAGATTATAACTCTTATGGAGGAAGACCCCAGAAATAAAGTGCCATTCTTGTCACATCATACAAGGGTACACACTATCAACATGACTAATCACTGAAGATGTTAACCTTGATCACCTGGCTGAGGTAGTGTTTGCCAGGTTTCTACACTGTCAAGTAAGTCTTCCCCTTTTCACACTGAACTCTTTGACGGGAAGTCATAACTATACACAGGCTGCACTTAAAGAATTGAGTAGTTACGCCTTCCAAAACTTTTTCACTTACTTCTTAATATACTAATCCTCTCAAAGAGCTTATACAGATTAAAACAAAACAAAACAAAACAAACTGAGACCAAGAGAACTTCTTTAAGGCTACAGAGCTAAAAAGTGCAAGCGTTAGGAATCAAACCAAAGCTATCTGAATCCTGGCTTAGTACTCTTTTCATTGTAACACGATTTCAAGACCACAAATTATATAGTAATAGGTAAATTTCAAGCTCCACCTTATTCAACCACTAGTCTCCTTCCATATACTTCCATTTTATTCATCAGGTTCCTGTTTCTTTGGCAGTGACTACTCTTTCTTATTAATTTCACCAACTTCTCCAAAGCCATGTTATTTTTCTCAGTTTTCTTGGTCCTACAGGGACAAATTTTTTTTTAACGTTCCAGAAACATCTTTCCACTTCTCTGAACCTGCCCAATAGAAACTGCCCGAACTACCTCCTCCAGTATCATGGTGTAATTAATGAAAAAAAGGACTGGGCATTAAATTTAAAAGGGGGGGCGGGGGCAGGGAATAAAAGACTATGTAATGCAGTGGTTCAGAGTTTAGACTCTGCATTCAGAAAGTCCTGAGATCAAATTTCAGTTTCATCACTACAATTCTGACCTTGGAAAAGTCATTTCACGGTCTAAAACATTATTATCTTCATTTGCAATCCTAGAAACTAATCTTAAAGCATTCAGTATATAAAAGAGGTGTATCTATGCAGTTTTCCACACAGTATCTGCAAAATGGAAACTCTATGAGTTATAGACTAGCCCACAAAATTTAAAAACAAAAGCTTAAAGATAAACTTGGAACTTACCAAATTCAGATTATTTTGTACCTTTGATAATAGAATAGTAGGGGATCTAGTTAAATAAAGAACAGTAAGTACTTGGAATCGTGCATGCTTTTGAATAAAACAGTTTCCTGAAAATGGGATGTATTTTGTGTAATTCCTCCTTGAGACAAGTTACCAGAAGAAAATTTCCCCCCAAAAATCAAGCATACACTAAGCTCATTACATTCTTGTACTCACCAATAACAGCTAATAAAGGACTTGCTCAAAATCCCTGTCAGATGCCTAACCATCCTTCTTCCAGAATCAGTAACAGTTCTTCATAAAGTAAAGCGGCCCAACTACACAAGGGTAATTAATCTATTGCAGCACTCCAGACAAAAGCAAGAGAGAAGCAAAGAGGAAACTTCAACTGGAAAATATTTTGACATAATTGACACAGATGACAAACTTAAACTTAAGCATATGTCAAGTGTTACAGTCTACACAACAACACATACAGATGCCAAAGGGTATTAAGAGTCCACACAAGCCAAGGTGAAGTCTGAACTCTGAGTACACATCTTCTAATCACTGTTTAGGAAAGATGCACAGGTGAAGTTAAAGGGTTCTTTCATAACTCAGAGAAAGAAATGTTTCAAATCCTCAAATTCTTTATTTTTGGAATTAAAGGTAATTATAGTTGTAAAAAATGTTAGGGAGTTTTTCCCTTCAATACATGTTAGATACTTGTATTTTCCAATAGGCTAGAAAATTTCATTGTCTATGTACGTTTCTCTGGTCATTTTCTTTCTTTCTTTTTTTTTTTTTTTTAATTTATTTATCTGACAGAGAGAGACACAGCAAGAAAGGGAACACAAGCAGGGGGAGTGAGGGAGGGAGAAGCAGGCTTCCTGCAGAGCAGGGAGCCCGATGCGGGGCTGGATCCCAGAACCCTGGGATCATGACCTGAGCTGAAGGCTTAACGGCTGAGCCACCCAGGCGCCCCTCTCTGGTCATTTTCAAAATGTGTCAAACTTGTGATTTCAAAAGCTCAAACGTAACACTTAAATCCCTTGGAAAAGAAACATATATGTTGTAACCAAAACCAACTTTTCCTTCATAGAAAAAAAAAAAACTAGGAAGAATATAATATAAATTCCCAACTTCTTTGACTTCATTTCTGCATACATAAGCTGTATAACATAGCTACTTTAAACTTTTCTCATTAGCAATGATCAGACAAGATGAAAAGGCCAATGAAAATGCAGAGAAAAACAAAAATTTTTTCATGTTCCCAACTTTTTCTTCTGGAAATTTTTAAACATGTAGGAAAACAAAAAATAGTAAAATGAACATTCATTGTTCATTAAATATAATCTCCACCCAGATTCAAAAATTGAATAATACTGCCAAACTATACTAAAATGTATATTGAATAAAAATCCACCTTAAATAAAAACTAGTAAGTAGGATATGTAATTATCTCTAAGCAAGTATGAACTCAATTGAATAAGAAAATTTCTTAACATCACTTATTCTTTGTGCGAGTATGACCTAAAAGAAAAATGAACATGAGTTTAGTGAAAAAGCTCAAATAAGTTAACACACGCGTGGCTATTTTACATGAACAGTGTGCAAGATAAACCTTTCAAAGAATCTTTGTACATTTTCTCACAGTGAAAAAAGTAAAACTGCCTAAAGTTCTGAAATGTTTCATACTCAAAAACAGTAATAAATGTATTTCTAAGTAATCCTAAAATAGGCCAGAAAGCAGTCCTGGTAACATCTGGAACAGTTATCTTAGATCACATAAGAATGAGATACTAGTTTGTAGGAAAATACATGTGCTCCTCTTTGAGATTCCAGTATAAATAACTCTGAGCGCAGACCTCATCAAGTAAGTTTCAGATATCCAGGAAACAGAAAAAATTCAAGGATTATGAATATACAATTGTGGAAAACACAACAAGGTAGGCACAGAAAAATGGAGATGACAGTAAAAAGAGTAGGAAGTGCCAGTAAAACAGTTATGTCCATTACCATGACATAAGAGAAAAGGCACCAAAGAGAAATCAAAATGTCTCTGAAATTTCAAAATCACTCATTACTCCAATGTTTAAAGCTCCAAACTTTAAAACTGTGGTGGTGATTCAGTGTAAGTGATCATAGTGAAAATGGTCCCCTCCCCTATTTTCAGTATCTAATATCTTCCACAAGATAATCACAAATATGCAATCACTAGTGATTGTGAAGATACTGATTCTTAAAAAGCAAATAGCCTAAACATATCTAAACATTATTCCAAAAAAATTTTAAGTAAAAACTTGACTCTACTCTGAAATAAATTTTATGCTTTCAAACTGCCAAGGATTTCAGTGTTCTAAGATAGAAAACATATTTTGTTATGAAAAAAATTCCCTGGTACTATCAAAACAGAGCCTTTTATCATGTGCTTTTCCTGAAATGAATTTGATATTTAACAGACTGAAGTACATATTTTTGTGATAAAGTCCATTCCACTAATGGATTTAAGGTTCTATATATGTATATTTAGTAACTGGATAAATGATCATATTACATAAAAATTAATTAAAAAATTAATATCTTGTCCTGGGGGGCCTGGGTGGCTCAGTCAACGGTCAAGCGTCCGACTCTTGATTTTAGCTCAGGTCATGATCTCAGGGTCCTGGGATAGAGCCCCATGTCAGGCTCCACACTCACGGGGAGTTTGCTTGAGGATTCTCTCTCCCTCTCCCTCTGCCCCTCCCCCTGCTCACATGCTCTCTCTCTAAAATAAATAAATAAACCTTAAAAAAAAAATATCTCGCCCTAAAGTCAAGTCAAGTAAGACTTACTTACATGTCAGATAAGATTATCTACCCCAAGTAATAGGGTAGGGCAATGAACAAATAATGTATGTGTGTGTTTCGGAATATAAACCTTGTACAGATATTGCCTGACTAGAAAAGTGTTTTAAGGAATTTAGTTTTACCATATAAATTATCAGATTTCTTTGAAAACTCTCTCTATATAAATATTAAATTCATGTCATATTTAAATTAAGTCTTAGTTAAGCAAAAGAGGTTATTAGCACAATTAAAAAATACAGAAACTAAACAAGACTGGTTTCTATTATACACGGACATAAGAAATATTGAGAATCACAAAACTAAATAAAGTAGTCCACCATTTTTGCTGATTACAAGCACTAGTTTATTTAAAGCTCAGCCACTCCTTAAGATGCCTTTTCATGTTTTTCTAAGGGTAAGAATCAGAGGATGGGTGTTAGTGGCGCTGGAAGACAAAGTAGCAATTAAAAAATTTAACACCTTACCTTTATAGCTAGGAAATTCAGGCCACTCTCATTGGCCAAAGCCTTTGCAATCATTGTTTTAGAGCATCCAGGTGGTCCATACAGAAGAACTCCTTTAGGTGGTTGAATACCCATTCGAATGAAAGACTCTGGATGTTTCAAGGGCCATTCTACAGCCTGTTTCAATTTCAGTTTGATATTTTCCAGTCCTCCTATATCTGACCAGGATACCTATAAAACAGAGCATTACCTAAATTTAAGTTTTGCCAGGAGAAACAGAGGGGGAAAAAAAAGAATCAATAAAAAGTGCAAGAGGGGGAATAGAACCATTTAAAAATCTAGAAGATCCTTAAAAAGTTCTAGAAGTAAATTAGAGTACATGAAATGTGAGCTATATATTACAGAAATACTAAAGAAAAAAAGTTTCTGCTTGTATAAATAACTGTTTAAATGACTGAACAAACTGTTAAGTTTATCTTCTTTTCTAGATGGCTTGAAAAATTAAGTTTCATCTGTCTGAAAATGGTTTGAATTAGTGATGCAAGGTCTCATCTACATATATCTTTTTAGCAAATTTATTTGCATTATGTATTACTTCCAAAAATATTTCTGTAGGTTCTTAGGGAACATACGATTTTTTCTGTCTTTGATATATTCATGAAGTATCCTCAAAATTTTGTTCCTTTTTCTCAACAAAGAAACCCACCAAAATAAGACAACTCTTTACATGGTGTTCACTTAGTAAATATCCATTAAGAACTACATATCAGACAATATACACAGGAAATAGAAACATAAGACATGAATACAAACTTTAAAGAACTTAACAACCACCAGTAATGTGTACATAAATAATCACAGTACAATGGAAAGGATGCTAAGCACAGTAACAAAGACACAGAAAAAGCTTTTGGGAGTTCCCAGGAAGAAAAGATTACTTCCAGCTGGAATGCAAATCTGAAAGTCAACTTCTAAAGAACAGATGAGATCTGGAAATGTGAAAACAGGGGAATGGTCAGGTAGAGGCCAAAAAATTACAAAGGCTCAGAGGAAAGTATGAAGGAATAAGAGAAAAAAGATATGAGGGAGAAAAATTTAAAAAGGAAACTAAGTTGAAACTATATAGTGGGGGACCCTGAAGACTAGATGATGGAGTTCAAGAACCTCTCTCTTCATAAAAAGTCTTTGAAGATTTTTAATCTGGAAAGTGATATGGTCTGATCTGTGCTTTAGGAAGACTTCTCTGACAAGATTCATTTAGAGAGGAGAAAGAATGCAGGGAGATCAATTAAGGACCTATCACAAACATTTTTAAAATTAAAAAAACGAACTCAAACTAGGGTAACCACATGCAGAGGATGAAGACACACCAGAGTGATACTACAGGTCCACAGTACGAGGGTTTTGAGGTTAGAGTAAGAAAGAGGGAGAATTTAAAGCTGAAGATTTCAAGATGAGTTGATAGAACATGAAAAGAAAAATAAATTTTAAGAGGGAAAATATATGATAGATTTTTATTTCTGGATATAAAGAGTTGAAACACAGGACAGGATATTCAAGAGACAAAAAGGGAGTAGTTGGAATGTAAGCATCACAAATGGAGCTCTGGAAAGAGTACAGGACTGGAATTTCAATTTCAGAGAGCTCTACATACAAATAATAAAAACTATGACATCAATTAAAATTGCCACTAGGAGAGGAGAGATGTAGGTGAAAGGCAGATTGCTGGGCACCACCTACATTCAAGAGGCAAAAGGGGAAAAAAAGAGGAAGAAAAAGTTCAGAAAAACAAACAATTCACAAAGCCAAAAAAGAGAAAGGTTTTGTTTGTTAATATCAGGAAAAGGTTATTTTTTTTTTTTAAGAACTCGCATGGTTTTAGAGAGGGGGACTTTGTTGTTTTTGTTTTTTGTCAACGGAACCAGAAGAATGCTATATTATGAACCATAATCCTGAAATCAGATTTAATTATTCTTTTCTAAATTGTTTTCTTGGGATTTATTTCTAAAAAGTAAGATTACTGGATTAAAAGGCATGAACATTTTTAGGTCTCTTGATGCATAATGTCAGTTTGCTATCCCAACCGCCTTATCTATTTTAGTAGCATGAGTGATACGTGTATAAGTTTCCCTACAGTATCATCAGCCTTGGGTTTTATTTTGCCTTTTTCTTTTCCTGATTTCTGATTTCACCAATTAATAAAACTAAAATTAAGCTTGAGATCAATGCACATAAGCTTACGGCCCTAAAAATATAGGATCAAAGTGACTGTTTACCACAGAAGGTGACTGTTACTTTTAAAACCAAGCCTGCCTAAAAGTGCAGCCGAGTTGTCACGCCCCTGAGGGGTAGTTCCTGCTTCTGCTTTCTTGTGTCTCTCATTTTTCTTTTCCTTTTTCTTTTTAAATAAAATTTTGAAAATTTTCAACATACACAAAAGTTGAAAAATCAATACAGTAAGTGTATATATACATTTTGCCAAAATTCACCAATTTTTAATATTTGCCACACATGCTTTAATGCATGCTCTCACTTTCTCTCTACACACACACCAACAGTACAGACACAAACACACATACTTTATCAATTTTTAAATTTGCCACTGAATCTTTTTAAAGTAGGAGGGGGACGCCTGGGTGGCTCAGTTAGTTAAGCGTCTACCTTCCACTCAAGTCATGATCCCCGGGTCCTGGGATCAAGCCCTGCATTGGGCTCCCTGCTCAGCGGGGAGTCTGCTACTCCCTTTCCCTCTGTTCCACCCCACTGCTCATTCTCTCTCTCTCTCTCAAATAAATAAAATCTTTAAAAAAAATAAAGTAGGATGCAGATATTAAGACTTCTAAATACTGCAGCATACTCTCATAGAAATAAACATTCTGGGAAGAGAGTGTTAAGGAGGGTAGTCAACAACTATCAAAAACTAAACAGGGCGCCTGGGTGGCTCAGTTGGTTAAGCGACTGCCTTCAGCTCAGGTCATGATCCCAGGGTCCTGGGATCGAGTCCCGCATCGGGCTCCCTGCTCTGCGGGGAGCCTGCTTCTCCCTCTCCCACCCCCCCTGCTTGTGTTCCCTCTCTCTCTGTGTCTCTCTCTGTCAAATAAATAAATAAAATCTTTAAAAAAAAAAAAAAAAACTAAATAGAGGGGCGCCTGGGTGGCTCAGTCGTTAAGCGTCTGCCTTCTGCTCAGGTCATGATCCCGGGGTGCTGGGATCAAGTCCGGCATCAGGGCTCCCTGCTCGGGCTCCCTGCTCAGCAGGAGGCCTGCTTCTCCCTCTCCCCCTGCTTGTGTTCCCTCTCTCGCTGTCTCTGTCTCTGTCTCTGTCAAATAAATAAATAAAATCTTTAAAAAAAAAGAAAACTAAATAGATCAAAAAGTAGAGAGTATTACAGAAGCAGTGGTCAGTAGATTTAACAACAGGGTTACTGAACTGAATGCTTTAAATATACCAGTTTTTGTTTTTATGCCTTTTAGCAGTGGAATATACATACACACACAACACAAACACACATTTATGAGCACATACAGACAGTATATATATGTTATATATAATGTATCAGAGCTATATTTATAATAACTACCAGAAATGTAAAAGTCAGAGAAGCACTCCTTAAACTTGTGAAAATTAAAATGATAGTGTGTTACCGTTATGATCCTGCATGGTGCTCATTCAGTTGTTACTATGCAATTATTATACCTATACAATGAGAAGAGCACACTGTCAACGTGCTCCACTAGGAGTGGACTTTCCATGTCTTGGAGCACATCTGAGTTTCACTTTTTTTTTTAAGAGAGAGGGAGGGAGAGAGAGACAGAGACGGGAAGAGAGCGAGAATCTTAAACAGGCTCCACACCCAGTGTGTGAACCCAACTCGGGGCTCGATCTCACAACCCTGAGATCATGACCTGACCCGAAATCAAGAGTCAGAGGCTTCACCAACTGAGCCACCCAGGCACCCTGAGTTTTACTTTAAGTAATGTAGCATTATAGCAGAATACTTATTTAAGCTAATTTAAATAAGTACACATATACAGATAAAATTTTCTTAAAGGTTAATGTAGAACTATATCTTTCTTAATCAATGACATTTTATAAAAGATTCAATTATATGCCTATAAATGCCTAGGGAGTATTTTTTCTCAGGTTTGTATGAAACTAAATCAATCTGGCAAATCTTCATCACGATAAAATTTGGTTTTCAATACATTTGTGTATGTTTGGTTTTTAATCAGTCTTTTAAAGAGTCTTGAAAAAAGAGTTTTTTAAAAGAACTTAATATCAGATACTAAGTACCTCCATGAACCACCCATGGAAATCACTAATATAAACACAAAGAAATCCATGTGATAAAAGATGATCTCTGTAGTTAACAAGGATCAGGGAGTACTAGCAAACAGAGTCAGCTGGACCCGGAGTTGGAGAGGGCTTGTCCGCCAAGAAAAATTAGAATGCTTTTATCGGAAAACTGAGTGCTCACTAGCATGGAAGAGGCCAAAACACTGATGCTACTGTATGGACCTAATAGTCTTGCTGAGGAGTTGTTCCACTGCCCTGAAGGCTGAAGCAGAAGAAGACTGAAACAATCCTGTCCCCTACCTCTCTGCCGAGAGAGAGCTCTTGCTTCATCGGTTGTACTTTCTCTATTACTGCTTGATTGTATTTTTCCCTATATTCTTTCCTCAGCCTACAAACATTCCCTGTTTCTCCCTATCCTTCAAAACAACCTTCCTTCGATACTGTTTCTAATGTTCTATCGCCTTCTTTTTCACCACTAAACTTTTTGAAAGATAGTTAATAGTCCTCTATTCTTACTGTATTTATATCTCCCACTTTATATTTTAGTTAAGTATTTATCTTGTCAAAGAGTAGTAGGAAAGGAGTGTAAAAGGATAAAGATAGGGGCGCCTGGGGGGGCTCAGTCGGTTAAGCGTCTGCCTTCAGCTCAGGCCGTGATCTCAGGGTCCTGGGATTGAGCCCCACATCGGGCTCCCTGCTCAGCGGGGGGTCTGCTTCTCCCTCTGCCCCTCCCCCCTGCTCATGCTCACTCTCTCTCCGTCAAATAAATAAATAAAATCTTTAAAAATAAAAGGATAAAGATAAAAAGTTTAAGACTGGTGGAAACGCAGGGAGTTGAGGGAGTTACACCAGAAGGTCTCTAGCTTCTCAGGGAAACATGAGGCAACATCATCTGCAGAAATATCAATTAATCTAATAAATACTGACTAAATGTC